TCAAAATTTGAAAAAAAACGGGAAAGACTTATTCACACACCTGATATTACGTTTAATTTATATTTATATTTTTTTGCTGGTGTGTGCCGTGTGGGCCACATCATCAATTATTATTATATTTATTATTGTTGTTGCGCCATTGTAAGGCCAGCATTACATTGTTGTATTATTGTATTTTTATTTATATTATTATTGAACCGACTTAGGTCGACTATTTGTATTATTCACATGAGATTTATGTATTTACCCAATTTGTTCAATTTTACAAGTTTACTGTTGCAAACAATTATTATTATACATTCAATTTACCAGCATTCAATTGTTCGATTTTTTAGGATTTGTAGTGTAGTCGATGTGATTGCCTACCGTCCTGTCGTGAAAGCACCCTTTATTATTATTATTATTATTATTTAGAGCTGAACACGACTTACAGTAGTTATGTATTTATGATTTTATATCATAAATAATTTAATATTATGGTTATCAAATTTGTTGAAAACTTGTAATTGTGATTTGTATCAATTTTTCGTTATTCCAACTAATGTTCCAAAAACATTTTATCATATTAATTTAACTTTATGATGTGATCAGTACTCAGAAATTTATTAGTTTAATACTATCGCGACTCGGGTTTTTCCTAAAAATAATATTAAATAAACAAAATTATAATAATGATGATATTTAGTATATATATATAGTAATTAATAATTAAATAATGTAATAATAAAGAAAATTAATATAGGAATTCAAAATTTTAAATGTAGATTCAAATGTAAATAATAATTATTTTAATTTTATTTGTGATACCTAAAAAATAATTGAAAATAAAATTAATTTTTTTAAGTGTATGAAAATTATATGTAGGCCATTTATATGAATGTGCTTACGGTCCTAAAAACCATAATCCGGGTCTGATAATATATTGTGTTTCAAATAAAATGTAAATCACACATCTTATTTTAAATATAATATAACCATTGATTTTAAAATAGAATGCTGTTATAATTTTCTAAAATGTTATACACTCCTTTTTTTCCTTTTTTTCAGAACCTTATAATCAAATTAAACCAATGTCATTAGTTTCATTACATATTTTTATGGTACATTTTTCCACTAAAAATATATTGATCCAACTATTTGGTTTTATATCCTTAAAGAAATATTACAAGTTATAATAGTTGTCTCCCGTTTAAAATAAATTTATCCATTTTATATGGGAATCAAATGAAACAAAGATTTTTATAACTATTATAATTTCATCTTTAAAATTACTATGAAAATAAAATATTGTATATATCTAAAATAACTACGGATCGGGACATAATGTTTGGGTAAGGAAAATATGTAATTTTATAGTCTATTAAATATTCGAATATATACTGGCAAATACATTATAGAAAAAACAAATAGATGAACATTTAGTTTTGTTTTTGAAATTTTTAATTATCATAACGTAAAATGATAAACATTCTTCATCAAATATAAAATAAAAAGTTTCTAATGTCATTTTACTGTTGTAAAATAATTTAAAAGGTTATTGTAACATTATTTCCTATTTTATAAAAGTCGAATATGCATATTAGAAATCAGAGGAACTTATGAAAAATCACCATGGTTATCAGTGTAATTATCAACATTTAAGTGTTGCTTGATAAGCTTGATCTCGCAGTTTTCAAACGCAGTTCAGTTCAAGTTTTATTCGCAAGAACCGTTCAAATATAATATAACATATTATCATGAATGCAATGCTTTTCCTGTGTATTTTATCAGTAGCGATCAGCACGTGGGCTTTTCCGCAAACTGTTACTAAATCTGAAGATGATGGTCGTATTTATTTTGGCACGATTTACGACAAAGAAAAATATCCATACCTAGTGCATATAGAAATTCCTACTAAAGAAGGTACGTCTGTCTGCACGGGCACAATGATAGCACCATTATTCGTATTGACCGCTTCTCATTGTATGATTGGCAAGAAAACATTGGGCATGAAAGTAAACATGATAAATTTCAAACTCGAATAACAAGTTATTTAAGCTATTTTATTATAAATGAAACCACGATTGTTAGATCCATTTAGGTGGTGTTTTATCGGGAATACACGAAGAGGTTGAGGAAATTTATGTGCATCCATTGTACGATGACAAATCATATAGAGCAGATATAAGTTTAATAAAGGTAAGCAATAGTATTTTATTTTTTCAAAATACAAAACAAAAAATTTAAATTTAGTATGATATGCGTTTAGATAATTATAACTGCATTCAAATCATTGAATTACAAAAATATGTAATAAATTATCATATAATCCAGTATGTCTGTACTATATGTCGTATGTCCAGCTATAGGGCAACGATAATAAAACAAATATTAACATAATTAAAACCATTAATTTATAAACTATAACCTTTTGTAATATATTCCACTCCAGACATCCGTTTCATATCAACTTCCTCATATTCACCGTGTTATTCTTATAATTCCTGGGATACCCTAAGAAGATTCAAAAAGAACTATTGTGGTGATCTACTTAAGGTTCAGTGATTAAAAATGTAAATTAATAAAAACAATAATAAAAAAAAACAAATGAACAAATGATACGAGGGTAATGCCACTACTGGGTGACTTCATGTATCATGCTACTCATGTAAAAAATAAATTCTGTTATCACATGTTGTAATTGTTCCTCGAGGAACAAATTGTTTGTACCTTTAAATATAAATAAAAAAAATTATAATAAATTATAAGAATTCCAAATATTAAGTCATATAATATCTCAAGTTTACATCTTGGAAATTATGAATATTAATATATTATTTTAATTTATCACTATCCCATCAACAATAATTAATTAACGTCATTTAACGATTATTTAATATAGCTATTGACTTCATCTGAGCCGCATTAATTTTAATTCTTTTACACCTTTCGAGTTATACCACGCTGAGTAATTTATTTAAAAAGTACGATCGAATAAGATTACCTATTCATATATTTTCCCGCTAAAATCAAAATAATACATTATTTATAACATTCTTAGTGTATTTTATACAATGTTCTCTTTTACTGAACAAGACTTAACATATTAATGTTATATAATATTATATATTTTACTAAATGGGTACACGATTATGATATTAACGTTTGCACTTTGTACACATGTTTAGATAAAGGCGCCATTCCCAAGTCTTCAACGATTCGTAGTGGCTTCTGGCAATCCTGATGATTTCGTCAACGGCAAAGAAGTTAAGTGCGTGGCTATGGGGTTCGGCCTTACTAATGGAGAAAAATTGTCACAAGAAGGGCTTATGATTAACGTCGTTGCCAGATACGGCATACCACCATGTTTAACTGGAATGAAGTACTAATCGTTCAACTCATTACTGTTCCGTGAAATTGGTGCATCCCAATTGCATGCCATTTCTTAGAGGGGTCTGTATGGATTGCATGCGATCCACTTCTAAGTTTATTTACCATGCACTAAACATTTTTGAATTTTTTAATATTTAAAAAACGGATGAATAGAAACTGATTAATTTCTAAATTGAAATATATATATATATATATATATATATATATTATATAATAATAATAATATAATATATTGAAATTATATATCCGAGTAAACATTTTACCAAATTGAAGAAGGTGACACTGTGAATATTAAACATTAAATAAAACGATTGTAGTTTAGAATAATCAAGTGAATGTATTTTACATTTTTACATGACATTTAAAATAAATAATAACATAAAATTTGGTGGAGTTTTTTTTGACAATATACAATAACAAAAATAATAAGGATGATAGTTCAATAGTTAATAATAATAAAATAAAATGTAAATATTGATTTAAGAAAATGTTTACTCAGATGTAAAAAATATCTCAATCAAGAAACTAATTAGTACAAACATATCATAAAGAGTTCAAGTAAAAACAAAATTTAACTTATGCACATACGTGTACACTACTTACTTGTACTTTATGTACACGGCATACCTCTCAAATACGTGGCATACAATTCGGACAGGTTCCTCTAAGACTTTTTTTTTTTAACATTCAATTCGGATGCAGCCCGTGAAATTGTTTTATTTTATTTTTGAAGGGCATTCGCGAAAGAGTTTTTATGTGGCAAACCCGACAACCATACGGTGTGTAGTGGAGATAGCGGTGGTCCGTTGATATGTGGTGATCAGCAGTACGGCGTAATTAGTCATACGGTGAATTTACTCGATGGTGAAGTGCCGTGCGGTTCCGATAAAGTCGAAGACAAATACTTATTCGTCTATAATTATAAAGACTGGATATCTTCGCATGTAGACCCCCCTAAAGAAGAAGAAAAGTCATATTGTCCAATAATCAAGCCATATAAGATTGGTACGATGTTCGTTGCATTCATGCTACTCGGAAGAAATTAGAAAGCTACATATACTACATTTTAAATAAATAATTATACATGTATTACTTTTATCAAATACAATGGCGTTCTATTTTTACACTATTGTTTCCTATTTTAACTACAACATGTAACTCCTATGTAGAAGTATAATTATTATCTATGTATTATATATTCATGGTACTTTTATACCACTTTTATAATTAATTTTTTAATTTTATTTAAATACTTTTGTGTTTACTTACATTTTTCGGTAGCTTAAATTTCTATACTCACTCTTTAATTAACCGTTACCACCATTACATGGTTTATAATATAATATGTGATGTGTTTGTTAAAAAGTATGATTTTCAAATATTTTATGTTAAATGTTATTAAAAATCTATAAGTATAGCATCATAATATGATTATAATAAGAGTATATATTAATTGAATTCATATTATGGTACTTTATTTATAGTTTTTTAATACCAATATAAATATAAATTTTATATAAAATCCAAATACCACTGTAACTCACTGATCACTCTACCTCAAAAACTACTCAACGTACGCATTTGAAATTTGGAATAGTGGTTCCTTAACACTTTCACCGT